TTTTGGTGTCGAGAAATTAAATTCAGGAATTTGTTTACATCAGATTATCTGTCCAAAACATATATATTCTTACAGAAAAGGAATGAACCAAATTCTTCTCGAAAGAAAAAAAAAAGTGCATTCATTTTTTGTTTAATTCCCGGGTTTGGGGTTTTGTTTATATTATACTGTCCGTCTGACATGCGTATTTCCCCGCAGAAAAGAATGACTTAAAGTGATTTGAACAAAGAAAGCATCTGGATTTTGTTTAATTCCCAAGTTTGTCATTGGTGTTGATGCTGTTAGTTCAAAACCCCAATTGACCTTTACATAAAAGATGTGTAAAAGACAAAAGCGAAATCCATGTGGTTTAGTAACAGACTTTTCAAGATTAAGACGGTCGGCGTGGAGAAATTATTTATATCAATGTCAAACGTTTTTGGTTGGAAAGAGGGTTGTCTATATAAACGAGATCCAAATAGTCAGATGGAGAATCGGACCAACAACGCGTCGGCAGACAGCCGTTGTCTTACAAGAAACACAAGGAAAATGGTCCAGGAGAAAGTCAGCTCTGGATTGCCTGAGATTGCATTGTAAGACGGCCGTCGATAAAAAACATATCCCTAATTCCCGTAGCCTGAGCAAAAACACAGACACACACATAACAAAATAATTGACTAAGAGTCGAGTGGCTGGTTATTATTTAACTTTGTACTACATTTCTCAAATCACTATCCATTAGTAAAGAACTTGATTTTGCGGTTATTTATAGGGACATTTTATTCATCAATGTTTTTTATATTCAGTAAATCCGTTTTAAAGTCCAGCGATTATTCCCAAAGTTCTCCTTGTACGTAAAGTAACTACGGTCACAGACAGGAATTACGCAATTTTCAGTGGTACATAACGCACATAAATAGGCTTTGCCGTAAATCGTCAATATTATAAGATTTTGGTAAACCAAAATAAACACTATCTAGAGGAAGGAAAAGAAACGGGTGATCCACCGAGAGAGAGAGAGAGGGAGAGAGAGAGAAAGTAAGAGAGAGAGAGAAAGTAAGAGAGAGAGAGAAAGAGGGAGAGACAGATAGAGAAAGTGAGAGTGTGTGTGCGTGTGTGTGTGTTTCGGTTACATTTATAAATCTTATTAACGTTTGTACTTTCACTATCTTTTCTAATCCCGGTCTTGCTATCCATTTAATCGTTAAGTAGGTTAATCACTGTTTTCCTCTTTCTCTCTTACTTGCAATATGTCCTCAGAGGGCCAAGTTCTACAAACCCTTTTTCCTTATTATGTTTCCGAGAAATTTCAACCGCCTCTTTCTGATTCGAAATAGAGGTCTCCTTTTCTTCTATAGAGAGGTACAGTGGAGTAATGGATAGCGGCTAGGATTTAGGAATCGGAGAGCCGTGTTCGAATTTCAGTCAAATCACTTGCGTGCTAATACCCTTGGGAAGCGTGAACCCTCTTCTTCTACTCCCAGCTATGGGAAAATAGCAGGACAGAACTTCTATAGCTTTGGATGGCAACTGGTCTACCGCAGTAAGAAATGGCAACCCACTTCGGGAAAACCTGCCTCGTCAGTCATGTATCGAAAGATACATGATCGCCTAAGCGTGTGTCACGCACGGTACATAACTGACTGCTAACAGAAAACTAAACGAATAAAATGTAGCTCTATGGGGTGGGATAACTGTCTTGTAAAATCCAATGCAGCCAAAACCAAGCTAGTAACGTTCCACCATTATCGAACAGACCCCGAACTCATCATGATAGATGGATCTTTTCTCAAGGAACGTCTATTGAGACTCTCCCTATACCTCCCAGTGGAACTCATATCATAAAGATACTGGAATAAATGACCGCTCCGGTAACTAACTCCCCCTACTATACTCACATAAGACCCAAAAATGGAGTATTGTTAACATATCTAAGCTGGAGTTGTCCAGCCCTCACTTGCCTGTCTTGGTAGAATTCAAAAGCGCCTACGCGAACTTTCGGTTGATTAATTATCCCCTCCTTAAAATCTCTGTCAGATAAAACGTCGCGAGTCACTCACTACTCTATCGTAATTTCCATGACATGTGTTCTGACGAGCTACATTCCTTTACACCTGAGACCCGCCATACCGCGTACACAAGATTGAATCATCCTCATTCTCTTCGTATTCCATTATCAATAAGTTAGTTCCTTCCCAAGAACTGTTACTTTGTGGAACAAACTCCTGTTAGGATGTTTTCTCACTCACTACACTCTTGATCTCATCAAGTTTAGGGTTTCTTTCCTGCATAACTCCATAAACTTCATTTCTTGCCTTCTTATACACATACAGTAAGTCTCTACCATGAGTGGCTCCAGGCCTTGTATCAACTTATATTTGCTTACCATAAAATAATGTACTTCTGAAATCGAATTGACACTGTATATATCTGAAATTCTCAAGAAAGAAAAACTCAATTCTGCATACATAAATGAAGCTGAAATGCGTGAATCTCGGAGGAAAATATTCTATAAGTATTTACTTTGAAATGGCTAAATTTTGTCGCCTGGAAGAAGCCAAAAACCTGCTGAAATGAAGAAAAGTCTATTTGGAAAATTTATTCCGAAACGAATTTTTATTTTTCCTGCTTATTCAAAGTAAAGAATGGATTTTTATTGCCACAAGCAAAAACAAAACAAAAACAACAAAAAACAAACAAAATGTTGAGGCGATGCAACAACAACGAATTCAAAGAAAATAAAAAGCAAAGAATCATGTATTTTGTGAATGGTTTACACATTTAAAGGTTTAATTTTTGCGCTTTTATGTATACTAGGAATTCGGCTTATTTTCCCATCTAAATAAAAACGTAAAAGGTTTCCTTTAAGATAGTGTGTTCCATTGCACAAGAATGAAATCCTATGAATTTTATCAAAGAATACACTCTCTTTTCGTTATAAAACCAGTATAAACTAAACTAAACTTTCTGTGACATGGACAAAGCGAGAAAATCAACTTTTCAAAGCGTGGTGAACATATTTTATTACGAGTTTCAGTTGTAGCTTTTTATCTCAGAATTCCGAGTTAATACACTCTTTGATCGTTAAAAGTAAAGAGTGTAAAATGAATAGTTAAGAAATAGATTCACATGAGGGTACCTCGCAAACCACATCTAGTGATCATATCTTTCATGAATGTTGCCTTAACCTTTTCGGCTACGAACGCCTTGTTAAACGTGAAACAACACTATAATTGTATTTGAAACCTCGGTTTTTGTTATTTATTAAACCAGGCTTGAGCTACCTTTTTCGATCAGTGGGCAGTATGGGATGTAGGTCGTTATAAGGCGAGCCTCACTTACTTTGTGGAACAAACTCCTGTCAGGGGTAGATTGTTCTCAAAACGATAAAGTTATTTCCCTTTTTTTTTGTTGAAAGCCTCACCAATAAAACGAAACAGTTACTTTTTCGTTGAAAGAGCTTCAGTCATTTTTGGTATATATGCATTTGTATTAACAATGGGGAAAGTTAATTTTTGATTTTCTTTGGAAGAAAGATTTTTTATATAATTAAAAATATTAATGTGTTGTTATAATATTATCACAGATTACAGTGTCGTTAACACATGCCGTTGCATGGACTTTTTTCTAATTTATTTAAAATACAAAAAATATTTTCTTAAAAATAAAAATATATTTATTCTCCAGAGAAATAAAATAATTATGGAAATTTTCTATTTATAAGTCGAATTGTGTTTATATGATCTTCTGTGGTGATAATCGCCCATGGCTTAAAAATTATGAAAACTTTATCTGTCTATATTTCTGAGATGAAGTATTGTAACGATTTACATTATATACATTGTTCGGACCGTTGTCCTCATCTTTATTGTCATACTCCGTTGGATGCTCCGACCTTCTTAAGGTGATATATGTTGGACTTTTTAACCGAACACTTTATTTAATCTACTGGGGTAGATTGTTCTCATTCCACGTGCCATGCCTTCTCTGGATATCTAAGTTTCAGTTATTTCCCTTTAGTAACTCAACTCTACAAGTTTTTGTTCACCTCTGCTGTGGCCAGGTATTGAACTAATAATTCTTTGGGTTAAATCACTGGAATACTTCAACCAACGTTTTAAACACTGTGCCATATGTCCTTGGAGACATAACGTATATCACTGAAAAAGGCCGGAGAGTTCAAAGGCCGAAACGTCGTGAATATAACAAAGAAAGATGAGCACAACAGTCCAAACATTGTAAATAGAAAACCTTATCGTTAAATAAAGATTACAAATGTTGAAGCTTGGATAAGCATGGAATAATAATAATGCAACAAAAGTAAACAAAATGTCCAAACAAGGAAAAGGTACACAATATTTACAGTAGTTTTGGTATATTCTTGGGAAGACTGTTCCTGTAGAATGGGTGGACTTAATCGCGGGCAGAGTCTCTGGAATCTCTTCTTACTTCCTCCCCGTCTTCCCGGTACCAAAATATATGGTTGGTACTCACTATGTAAATTAGGTGGATCGTACCACAACAACAAAATTCAAGAAACATGCTATTTAATCATTGTTATCTACGTGACTATGTAAGAGAAAGTGTGAGGGAATAAGTGAGAACGAAAGAAAAGAAAAGGTCAGGAATTTAGGTGTGCCATACAAAAAACCAGAAGCCAAAAGTGTGAACTTAGCTTATAATAAAAGGTCAAAGATTAAGTTTGCCCAGTCTTTCAAATTGTTGGGGTGGGGCATGTTTGTTTCATTAATTGATTGATCAACCATTGGCAGCTTTTTTAAATGCAGAGAATATTTTTAGATTGGAGGAATTTTTAGAGATAATAATGGTTTAGTGGTTTATTAGTCATATTATTTAACCCATAGCTGGGAGAAAAAGAGATGAATTCATAACTCTCTCAGGAGTTATAGCTCGTAAGTGAATATAACGAACCTAATTGGAATTGGAACTTAGCTCTACAGTTAAAAATTTCAAGCCATTATCCATTACACCACACAAAAATCCAAGCTTAAAGCATCTGATAATGCAAAACGGTCACTCATCTAAGTAATGATCAGGCCCTACGTTGCTTATCTTCGGTGATCGTACGGGGACCGTTGCTTCAACGTGATGTGGCCGTAAGCCGACTGGTTTCTTATTTGATCCCTTAGCAACAAAGAACAGGTGATTGACCGTCGGGAATACCAGGTATTGTAAACTGCTTGTGACAACACTAAACATTTGGATAACAATACGATGACAGAACGAGGCTAACACTTCAGTAACGCTAAAATACTGCTTCCTATCTGATCACTTAGCAACAAGCAAGACGGAGATGTTTGACCGTCAGAAACACCAGATATTGCAAACTACTTGTGACAACGCGAAGTTGATTAAATAAAAGAATACCAAGGCTGACCGATTATAGTTTTGGCTCGCTGGTACGCAGTGTTTTGAGAGTAAATAAATAGGACACCTCGTGGTAAGGTCAATACAGCTCAACCCTTAGAAAAAAATCTGTTTTATATTTACTCACAAGAAAAGGAATGAACTTGATACTTGTCAAATTAAGTCTAGTGCAGTACGGGATCAAAGGAAAAGAAATATCTAGTAATAACATTATACTAAGTGGGAAATGCAATTTAACTTTAAAATTAGCATTCATAATCCTTGCTTTGAAGTAGTTTGACGGAAGTAAAGAAAGAGGACTATATGTCCTCTGAGTGAAATTAAGGATTATTTTTATTATACAATTGTTCAACCAATACAAGGTAAGATTCACCCAGATAGAGTAAGAATTGCATATTATGAACAAATTTAGGATAGATAAAGTTTGACGCACGACTTGAAGAGGTAAAGATTGTAGAGGTCGGAGAGTATTCTTTCGCGAATCTTTTACGACATAACAGTTTTGAGGAAGAAGCTTCCTGAAACTTCCTCCTTATAAATGGAATATAAAGCAAATGAACACGAGTCAATTCTGTATACATTGCAAGTCGGATCCTAGATGTGAACATCTGAACTCGCGGAACCATGAAATGTAGCTCGTCTGAAATCTGATATTAATATAGTGATAGAATAGCGATAAGATTGCAACTTTTCGTCTGTGAGAAACGGGTTGTAGTGTGGAAAATTATTCATCACCCACAAAGGCGCATAAACGCTTTGGAACTCAAAGGTTGGACAGCTCCAACACGGACATGGCAGCGATACTTTATTTAGTCTGATCTCATTCTTGTAAAGAAAGAGCATTTAGAAGGAGTCAGGTATTTCTGGAGCGGTACAAGGAATCATTCTTCCAGCATCTTTTGTGACCGATTGTATATGACTTAAGAGCTGAGGGGTGGGGGAGGGGGCTGACCTTGAGAACCAGTAGAGGTTCAAAGCAAGGAGCATCATTGGGCGTTCTCACCGTGAATCGTGACTGGAAGAAACACAGGCTCTGTTCGGTGATGATGAAACTTTACGAGATTCGTTTTGTTCGAAATTTTGAAGGTTACTTAATTAGATAAAAAGGGAGAAGGCCGATCATTTTCACGATGTTGAGGATGATAATCTTATCATTAAATAGTTGTTGGTTTAATTCTATATTATCGACAAATATATTATTTTCGAAAGTTACAAATTGGAACAAATGAGTATACAACCGACACTCGCCGTTGAGTTAAAATAAGGAACTGATTTTATTTGCTAACAAAATGAGACATCTCAGTAGCTTTGAAATATTCTAAGATTTTAGTATATTTATTAATACCACCTATTTTCAGGAGGTATGCAATCATGACTCTCCGCAGATTTTTTATTGTCAGTTGATTGTCATTCGTTCTGTCATTTAGACCATTTATAAAATTCCATGCCCTTCAGTAGGTTGGCGGTTATGGATCTCTACAGATTCTTCTGACTTGTCATGCTTTCTTGTGAAAAGCAGTAATTTTCCTTCTCCTGAAAGTGTCAGTTTTCCTTCTCTTAGACTGGTTGACATCCAAGGCGAGAGATACCAGTGCACGCTGCTATTTAATCCATGGCTGAGGATGGCGGGGGTAATAGAAGGGTCCAGGCGTTTCCTAAGTGGATTTGTGTGAATGTGAACACAACAGACTTGCACAGGATACGAATTCGGCTTGCAGATTCCACTCTCCGCGCTGATATACTTTACATTACTTACACATCGCTGTAATGCTTTTAGTTACATTCACATTAATTATTCATATATTTATATAATTTACAACACCAATGATAAATATATTTCGCGCTTTTTTAGGATTAAAACGATATATTAAATTATAAAACATTATATAATAATTAATTTATAATTATTAAATTATAAAACATTATATTAAATTAATTCATATAGTTGTGTAATTTACAATACCAATGATAAATATATTTCGCGCTTATTTGAAATTAAAGTGAATTGTGTATCCGGGAGAAAAATTCAAAAATTCAAAATCTGAGTGTGTGGAATTATTTAAATAATTAAGTTACGTATAAAAGAATACTTTTTTAAAATCTTGTTTTGGCTTCATTCAATTTGGCGCTATAACTAAATAGGAGGCCATAACCAAACTGAAAATGTGAAATCAATTTTTATGTTTCGTATTTCATCATAAGATCGCTTCCTTGGCGTTTACATCCAGCACACGAATAAATAAAATGCCATCAAATATTATAAATTCAGTATGTCTCTGCACAAACATTTATTTTCAGATCATAGATTAAAAATCATATATTTCAGTAATATTTAATTAAAAAAAATTAATTCACCCCAAGCAAGGCGATAATGCTGCTAAGATGCAAGCTTCTCCTGGGAGTCAGAGAGAATGTGAAGAAAAAGAAAAGAACCGGAAATCCAATCGTAAACAGAAAACAAGGTATCTGACTGTACTTTTGTTCACAAAACAGGGAAGAATTGTGACGATAGGGGAACCTATTTACTCGTGTTAATACACATGGAAGTATCTATGAAGCTGATCACTTAGGAGACGATGCAAACACCGTTAGGAAGTGCCATGCTACGGATTGGCGCAAGCCTTGTGAAGGAAAATTTGTAAACGAAATTATTCGGAAACTATCGATGTGTATACTAGCACAGAATCGACAGGGTTTTTGAGCGGTGTAACGTCCTTATTCAACTACTCGTCATGCCATATTACGCTTTACTCCAGAAACTGTGATTCAGGCCAGCTCAATATAGTTGCAGTATAAACCCCAGGTTGGGCCTGTGAGTGTTGAAGAAAAACAAATATGCCTGAGCAGCGTTTGCAACAAGGATTAACTATCCACTTAGACAAACGTATATATTTGAAAAAACAAAAAACAGCTACTTTATATATATTGTGAGTTTAAATTGGATAGACGAAACTGTTCGAAAATCTTCGATGGTCGTGTTAGCACTAAATTACAAGTCATCGTGATCGAGATATTGAGCGTACTAGTTTTGTTCAATTCCTAATCATGCTAGATTGTATACTACCTTCTACTGATCTGCATAGCTGTAGTAGAAATCGCAGATTGGTTCTGTGAGTGTTGAATAAACACATATGTGACTGAACATGCGTCTGCAACAGGGATTAAATAGCAATCCTAGTAGACTCCATATTTTCCCGTAACTGACAGATGTCTTCTATTATTATTTAAGATATTGTCTTATGCAATTTTATGTGAATAAAAGCAGTCGAGATATCTTATAAAGGTAACGGTGCGACTTCGTTTTCTGTCACGGTATTTCTCATAATGTCCACTAGGTGGCGCTGTATGAAAAAGTATAAAAGAATAGAGCAGAAAAACCTCTTTTTTTTCTTCCGCTCTTCAACCACAGGACGTCATAATAACAAGACGTTTACCTTTCTCCCTCTGCGGAACTTTCTTCCCAGGTGAACCACGTGTCGCTTTGTATACAGCAGATTACTACCACTACACTATCGCCTGTTCAAGAAAGCCTCATGCTATCACAATAATATCTCCACAACAACATCACATACATGTATATCGATATCCAACACAAGAAAATATCCCTTTTCAACAAACTGTTCGATGCCACAACAAACTGATGACTCTCGTTACAAACTAGTAACCTAATATCGTTACATACTGATATAATGGAATATGCATAACACCTGTGTTCCCCCCTCACTGAAATATGATTGGCTAGTGTTCGTCATAAATACCGACGGACGTGTAGGTACGACAGAGAAGAGCCTTAGTAGCCAAAACCACTTAGCTACTTCGTTCCCTTTCCGGGATATATCACATACTCTAAAAGGCCGCTCTCAGTAGGTACAAAGTAGCTACTATTTATGACTGCATTATATGGTGAAAGAATCAATAATGATTAGCCAAAGTATTATGTTGGCCCAATTAAATGACTAGATTACCAAAGGAAGAAAATTATTACAAATTGATTTTCATTAATTAATTCTTTAAGGTCTGTCTCAAATAAACAGGTGTTCCGCTTAATCGGAATGTGTAGTATTTGAAAGTTATGGGAAAAGTCTCTTGTACACTTCTTTCGAAAGGAGGAAATATATTGTAACCTAATCATTGTTGGCTTTGGTTTCTTAAATCATCTAAGAAGTTGCTTTCGTTTATGAAAATATTGCGGAGGTAACTGATTGATTTTCGTTTACTGTCATGTAGAAAATATGGAAAAACTTTAAAAAAAAGTGAGATGATCTCTTTCGATTATCGCATCGCATCGATTTCTCATCATAGGGTCAAAAATCAATTGAAATATTCATTCGTTTGATGTAAAAGAAATAATCTTATTTGAATTTGTTGATCTGTTTTGTTCACTAAGTTCGTAGGACACACATTTACTTCAGATTAACCTTTTTTTCTGTTGTGATTCAATTGCAGACAATTTCACTTGTTGTATTGAATCTTAATGAAAACAACTGACACTTTGGAAGCGGATTAAATTCAACAAAAGTTCTTAGTCAGCCATCACAATCTTTTAATAGTTACATTAGAGATAAATATATCTTGTGAAGTTCATTTTTCCAAGATATCTTTCCGCATTATATTTCTCAGATATTTCAACCGACTCTTTCTGATATTTTTGCAAACTTAAAGCTAAGGGAGTCTCTCGCCGAAATTATTAATTCGTAAATGTATGTAAACTATTGAAAACTCAATACAATTCT